AGAGAGGAAATTATGTTTACTTGAACTGTGAACAACAACAAGAGACAATTCAAAGGGCAAGCTGACAAAAGTAAAAGTGCGGTTCCAGACAGAGGATTAACTAAGATAAAATATAAATACAAATTTAAACGGTGCTTTATAAATGTAAATTGACTTGGATGATTATACATTTAAAAACAAAACATTTAAGGATTTAGATATATACAAATAAATAATTATATGTTGTATGAGAATATAACATGACTGACCTGATTATGTTGCAATGTGTCATAGCATTCTTCAGCTGCAGTTTCTGTTTCCATGGTAACAGTGACCTCTCTGATAGGTGAATCTGTCTTTAGGATAATGGATCTAGTTCTATAGTGTGCAAAAGTGTCTGTCCACTTTTTCAGCTGTCTTGGTTCCGGAAATATTTTTCCTATTCATTTTTCCCCTAGGGATTTTTTAAAGAGTCTTTCTTAAAGAGTTATAAGCTATGAACCAAACCAACCAGCAACAAGGTTAATCACAATATTACAAAAAGTACAAAAAGACAAAGGAACAAGACTGGTTTTAATGAGTGAAAGAACTACAACCCTATTAAGTGTTTCGAATGACAATCAAAATAAAAACTGATTAAACTATTGATTAAAATTTGTTGATTATATAGGACATATAAATACACAATAATTTTTTGCAAAATGAAAAATACAAAAACATATGTTGTCACCTGTAGAGATCAACTGTAGAGATCATGGTCGATCGGTCTCAAAGGTTTATACATTAGAATCAAAAATCAGTTTCTTTGTAAAGAACAAAACAGCAACACAAACCACACGCTTGTGTTTACTTCTTCGCATGTTTGGCTCAAGACAGCTGAAGCCGATTAACACGTTGTGTCCTACAAGAAAAAGTCTGTTTCACCACTGAGATTGATTTCTCTTGGTGAAACTGGCTGGATTTCATTTGGAAATGTAGCATGTTTGGCCAGCCCCTTCAGACAGGAACTGAGTACAGGAGGGGTTCTGCTCGAACCACAAATCTCTCCTCTTCCTGCTTATACAGTGTTAGGCGACAAATGACCTGAAACATTAAACACCTTTGTGGTGTCAGTGACACACTGTAAACAATGTGACAAGACTAAATCCAGAATGGGTCATATGCAACAGCAAAAGTGTATAGACAAACTCCCCTCTCTTGCCTTGTGGGTTATTGAACGCAGCCACGTGTCTGAGTATGGAAATAGATTTTACATGCACGAGTCTGCTGTACTGCAAGCATGTGAGACTCTTACACTATAATTGCAGACTAATTCAGAATCCGACTGCTACTTCACTTGCATAATTAGACACATTGAGCTTTTATGAAGGGGCTGAGGAATCAGAGTATTGTTGACATTCAGACAAACAGCACAGCTGCGAATTATACTACTATAAATTACAACAATAAAATAAAAACAAGTTAATTTCGTGCGTACATTTAGAGTGTATATTGCAAGCTACAACAAAAACATTTCCAAATGAAGCCAAAGTGTTGAACGTCTCCAAGCAAAACACATTATTGGTGTTTCTGTCCTGAATGAATCAGTGTTATTGAATGAATCGGTTGATAGGGTTATTCAATGACTTACTCATCAATGTTTTTGAACGAATAAATTGATTGAAATAAATAGCAAATCTCAGTACTAGTTTCGATTCTGAATGAGCAAGTGTGTCAATTATTAGTTGATTCGGTGATTCAATGAAAATTCTGCGTTTTTGAACAAAAAACGGACTGAGTGAATGACTCAGCCATTCACTACATAACTCTAACGATAGCTATATTAGGGTCCACACTAACACACTATAATGTTCTATTAATTATAAGCACCTGCTGCAGTCATGTCGCCTGCCGCTTTAAATGCTCAAGCTCTTTAAAGTTGGGTGGATTCTGATTGGCTATCAGTGTTTTTAGCATTTCTCAGCTGTAAGTTTTAATTATAGTTTTAAAAGTGCTGTATGTAAGTTTTTGACTCTACTAAAGCATAAAAATACCATAATATGTTTGCAGATATTTAAGAAACATGCTAAGTTAACATGTTTATCTGAAAAACAATGCTAGTCAGTTATTCTCCTTTGAAAATGTGCGTTCCGGGCCGGAATGTCGGTCTCTGTTTTGGGTTGTGAAACACTGCCAGTTTACCCAATTGTATTTCTGCACCCCGTGTTGCCAGTTGGCGGAAAACACAGCGTATTTCATTTCATTCATCGTCAAGTGCGCTGTGACACTATTGGTGTGGTCAATCTGGCAACCTGCGTGTGCGTCAAGTCTGAGGAGGAGGAGCCGCGTGAAAAAAACCCTCTCCAATATTTTGAATTTGGACTGCAATACCTAGTTCAACCACTCGGTGTCAATCCTACATACAGCACCTTTAAGAAAGCATTTGATTATAGCGATGTGGATGTTTGCACAAGCTCTGCAATCGGCACTCCAGTCAAGTCACATCACGTTTATTTATATAACGCTTTATGCAATAGATTGCTTTAAAGCAAGCAGCTTTACAGTATTAAAGGTAGGGCAGGTGATTTCGGAGAGGCTAGCAATAGCATGCCAGCTTTGAAAGCATAAGATCCCACCCTCCCTGCATAATCACTCTCCAAAGCACACGAACGCGCAGAGGCTAACCAGCGACACGATGAGAGACGGCATTGGTGGAGGGTTGAATGCAATGCTGTCAGATTATAGTTCAACCACTCGGTGTCAATCCTACATACGGCACCTTTAATAATCATTCTAATTTAATGATTCCACACCTATAAGGACACAGAGAATATCACTGAAATCTGTCTCAAAATGATTATTTCTATCTATTGAACAATAAAAACATTGACAGTGGAGAATCCACCCAAAGCTCAAACATTTAAAGCTGCAGACGACATAACTGCAGTTCAAGCTTATAATAAACAGAGCATTATACAGTATATAGTGTAAGTAAAATACACATAATGTGTCTGTGTATAATATAATATATACACAAATATTTATCTACATACAAGAAAAAACAATAACAGCCATGACAGCATGTCTTAGTGAAATATTTATTCTTTTATATAAACATATAAAACAAATCATTTAAATACAGAATATCTGTACACAAACTTTGTACATAAGTTTCTGCAGTGCTCAGCATGGGTGCAGATGCAATCCATGGAGTTTCTTGGCTTTTGAACATGGCAGAGTGGGTCACCCAGAAAAGCACAAAATAGAGCAGCGAGATGGGGGTTTTCATGCATTAACACGTCCTGGACTCACAATCCTCTTCTAATTGGACTAGTTTCCTTACCATTCATAACAAACACAAGTTGGTGAACTCTATTCTGCACAAAGCAGGCAGTTAAGACATACTGTGTATTTTATATTATTCGCATTCGTCGGTGTGTCAACTAAGCAACTATGTGAAGGATTAGGCAAGGAAGGAAACATGCAATGCTGACTCTTGTCTCTGGTGTAGGTTACAAAGCAAGTTAATGGCACAGGGCCATTTCTGAAGATGCTTTACCATATGAAGAGAGCGAGTGAGGAAAAGAGCATGTGCGTCAAGTCATCTGAAGATGAATAAGGGATATGCCTGGCAACTTTTTCCGCTGTGCTTCTGATTAAAAACTATTCTACTGGAGTTTCAAAAAAAGTGGGTTCAACTAAGGGGAAAAGACTAAAAAAGATATTTGTGCATAAAATACTCTCAGCTTTTTTTTGTTCCACTTTTTTTTTTAGCTCTATGAAGACCACAGGGAGGAAAACAAGCCACATTTATTCACCGATTCTGCCACGTTCCTCTCATGGGCCAAGAAACATTTCATCTCTTCACCAGGTTCTGGGTTAAACTGACTTACAGCACCGTTAATAGTGAAAAACACATAAGCCAACGTCTGGGGAAAAGGTGAGAGAAAAACTAAAATAAAATATGAAATTATTAAAACAAAGGTCTCTCAAAACGTATGAGGTGCAAAAAACAAAACTCTACTGCCTACCAAGAATCTACCAAGAATTATATTTCTGTCTCCACCAAAAATCAAACAAATGATTTCATATGCCACCTGTCAAGGCTCTCCATGTCTTTTTCCATGCGCAACAAAGCAACTGCTGACACCATCACCCCTTTTACTGTAAGTGTGCTGCCGCTTAATGGAAGGGCTGCCATTCATCTTTCATGTAATGAACACAAGCAAAGCAGCCTGGTGACACCATTACTCTTCAGTTCATTAGTCTAGAATGAACTCACAAAAAAGATTGAAAGCGATCACTCTCTGTTTCAAGTCAACTCAGAGACAAAGGCAACTGGAAATGCCTTAGTATTCCACACTGAAGCTGCGTTTAAGATGCCTCTCTGTTCTCGCACAGAGGTGGCCAGAGCCTGGCAGAGAGTTGAAGAGCTCTCCACACTTCTCTCCAGCATCTCCAGGCCCTCCGGCTGAGCAGTGACTGTTCTAGATGTAGTCGTCATCCACCGGTTCCCCCCGAACGTCGCAGTAGTGGATGAAGACGACCACCACACGCTGGAAAACACCCCTACGTGTCTGCCGTCGCTCCGAGATCTCCTCACCGATGGTCTCCATGCAGATGTCGGCCGAGAGCTGTCCCTTACGCCGCGGCGCATAGATAGTGGCTGACAGAAAGGAAGATTTCAGAGAGTGAGCGAGAGAGAGAGTTTTTTTTTGTTGTTGAACAAATCAATGCAGCCTTAGTGAACAAAAGAGGCTTCTTTCAAACACATTTAAATTTAGAAAGCTGGCATAATTTTTGCAGAATCTAAGAGTAATTCAACAGGCCACAAAAAAATTGACATTCTTCCTTTTTAAATATGGCACTATAAAGATGACAAACACAAAATTATTTATTATCTTATTCTTGGTATTACATTTACATTTAGACATTTAGCAGACGCTTTTATCCAAAGCGACTAATAACAGAATCAAACAGCAAAACGGAAATATTTTTATTCCTGAACAGTGATAGAAAGTCAAGTTTAGAGAAGTCTTAGCTTTACAAGTACTGTATTATGGGTAATGTAGTACACTCACTGGCTAATGTTGGCAATGGTGTCCATCCAGCTACGTACGCGCACTTTGTTCCTGACATTGGGTGGATTGCTGAACTCATGGATAATAGCAATATGGTATGGATACGGTCCACTGAAGAGCTTTTTTTCCAGAGCCAGAGAATCAATCTGATGTTAAAAAGAACATAACTGTAATATATTGTGCTGTAAATACCTCAATTACCCTTTACAGGGCTCAAAAACAAAGCTGTAATGTAACTCTATATATTAAGCACATATAAATCCAATCACACGTTTGTTGGAAAACAGTTGCATATGATGTGAAACATGAATGACTTCTTCATTCCAACTGATGAATATATTACAATTATATTACAATCTATTCTGGCAGTTTCCTTCTTGTAAAACCTCATCCATGCCAGCCATCGATATATAATGTTATTTTGATGACATATTTATTAAAACAATGTCCAATAAATCATAATAATCTAAATGTTTAAATTTGCAAAGCATAAAAATGTGTATGATCAATAAATCTATATATCGCATTCAAAAGTTTGGGATCAGTAAGATTTTTAAATGTTTTTGAAAGAAGTCTCTTATGCTAGTCAAGGCAGCATTTACTTGATCAAAAAATACACACACACACACACATCTGGTCAGCTATCCTTGTGGGGACTCTCCATAGGCGTAATGGTTTTTATACTGTACAGACCGTATTTTCTATTGCCCTTCACCAACCCTACCCCTAAACCTACCCCTCACAGGAAACTTTGTGCATTTTTAGATTTTCAAAAAACTTCATTCTGTGTGATTTATTAGCTTGTTTACCCGTGGGGACCTCAATTTAGGTCCCCACCGTGACACGAGTCCCCACGAGTCTGTGTGTATTCAGGTTTAAGTCCCCACCAGAATAGAAAAACAGGTACACACACACACACAAATGGTAATATAGTGAAATAACTGTTTCTATGTGAATATATTTTAAAATGTAATTTTCAATCAAGTGCAGTTTTCAGGAGCCATTACTCCAGTGTCACACGATCCTTCAGAAATCATTCGAATATGCTGATTTGGTGCTCAAAAAACATTTATTATGATCAATGTTGAAAAGCGTTGCGGTGCTTAATATTGTTAGTGGAAACCGGGATTATTTGCTGAAAATAAAGTTCAAAAGAACAGCATTTATTTGAAAGGGAAATCTTTTGTAACATTTTTATCAAATGTTTTTACTGACACCTCTGATCAATTTAAAAGGGGTCATGTCTTTGTTTTTTATTCTGCATTGTTCTCTGAGATCCTCTTATAATGTTTATCAAGATTTTTACATAAAAAACATCATAATTTAGAAGTAATAAGCTATTTTCTTTCCTGTTTTGACCCCCCCTCATCGGAACACTCCGTTTGAATATGCGTGGCTGATTGTATGGGAAGTAAACGATATCACTGCTATGATTGGCTAACAGTTGCATATGTTTTTGACAGCCTATATCCTTCAGAGATGCACACTGCTGTGATTTAGGTTAAAAATGCATAAATACTCAGTAAATATCAAACGATCTGTAATAACAGACAAAGCAATAGTGGCCACGTAATAAAAACAGTTACACACACTTGTGTGGTGTGACATTACTGTCCAATCCAATATAGTCGCACAGCATCGTCTTTTAGTTTCAATCTTTCTGAAAATCCAGCGTCCAATTGTGCCTTGTTTGTACACGAATCCTAACCCTAACTGAAGTGAACAAAGGACCAAGTTCTTACTGACGTGGTCTGGAACTTCATTAATAAAGTTCATCCACTCTTTCCTAATGTTGGGATCAGAAGGAAGGCGATGCAAAGACTGTTTTTCCACAACTTGGCACTGCACAGCGTCTTGTTGTCTTTGGAGGCATCTTTATCGTTTGGTTTCTGTGTAAACCTGCGTTCGCCTCTCTTGTTATTTACACTACATGCGCGAATCGGTGGGCGGGGCTAAACAGGCAGTGATGTAGAAGCAGGCGTTGATCATCTTCTGTGGAGGCGGTGTTTAGCCACACTATTACGTCATTTTGGCAGATTGGCTTCAATATAAGCTGTTTTTAGACTAACAAGAAGGTTTTGAGTTCTGAAACTTACAGGATGTTTTTATAGTACAGTGAAATTTTGATTTCTCAGTTCATGGCCCCTTTAATGCATCCTTGCTGAATAAAAGTATTAATTTCCTTAGAAAAATCTTACTGACCCCAAACTTTAGAATGGTAGTATATTTACCCACAATAATTCAACAACAATACCCAGTATATCACAATAATCTACATATTTAAGTTTGCAAAGCATAAAACATTTCTATACTTTATTGAATGTTGCACTTATGCAACCAATAGTAATACTATATACTCATGAAACAGTTTCATCAAATGTGAAAATTATAAGTCCTACATCAACACATTATTCAGAAACCCACTGATTGTAGCTACCATGGCAACCTCACTCTACTAAAGAATAACGCTGACCTGCTGCATAGGCCTCATGTAGATGATGCGGTTTCTCTCCGGCGGCATCCGTAAGATCTGGTCAAGCACCTGCTCCATGTCCAACTTCTTACATTGTGCGTAATCAAAGCGGTTTACTATGGGGGCACTTTCAACCACCAAGTGTTTCAGCACCCTACAGCGTGTTGCTTAGGAAAAAAAACAATCAAATTACACATATGGATGTGATGCAGTTTGACTCCTGTCAATGTCAACATGTTCTGCTATGAACTCACCATGGACAAACATCATTTTGGGGCACTCCTTAAGGACCAGATCTGTGATGCCACAGTTTGTAAGTGTGATTCCTACCAGGTTTTTAGATTTAAGGCTGAGCACCTGTATGATGTGAAAATATATTTGTGATCTGTAAGAAAGTGCATTAAAGAAACATTTAGTTGAGTGAAACAAGACCATGAACAAGAACAAGACACCTGCACATGGTCGTCTTCAGTCACAGGGTCACTGGTGCTGGTGGACTTGTCTGCCATATGTTTCCTCTTCACTGCAACCCGAGGCTTAGCTTTGGGTAGTTCTGGATACACCAAGAGGTGATGAGAAATGAAATGGAAGTCTTACTGTTGGTCAAATTTATCTTTATGTTAAATCTTACTGTCATAGGAAAAAAATTAACATACAATGGGCAACAAAGCAATATAGATTAGCCTTGCCTCGTTCATAAATTGAACATAGCTACTTCACTCACAAAAACACAAACAAGCGCTATGAGGGATGTCGAGATTCTCAGTGCTCAACAACACAGATTTCAGTCTGTTTTAGCACAAGCGTCTGATGAACCACTTTTATGTGCTTTTGAGTCCCTTTTGATGCTTGAAGCTCACGCAGTTCATAAATAATAAAAGAACATTTCACCCCAAAATGAAAATTCTATCAAGTATAATTTAAATTTAATTTCAAAAGTATATGAGTTTGTAAATACTGACCCCAAACTTTTGAATGGGAGTGTAAGTTAAAAAAAAGAAAGAAAAAGAGTGACAGTAAACACTTTCATGGTGTTATAAAAGTTTTCCATTTCAAATAAAGGATGTTTTTTTTTTTACTTTTTATTCATTAAAGAATCCTACTAAAAGATATTAAACAGCACAATTTTCCACACTATTAATAATAAGAAATTTTTTTTTGATCAACAAATCAACATATTAGAGTCTGAAGGATGTGTCACGTGACACCGAAGACTGGAGTAATAGCTGTTAAAAATTCAACTTTCACATCAAAGGAATACATAACATTTATAAAATATGTATACATTAAATTTGAAAACCGGTATTTTAAACTGTAATAATTGTTTCACTATATTACTGTTTTTAATGTATTTTTGTAGCCTTGGTGAGCATAAGAGACTTTCAAAAGCATTAAAAAAAATCTTACCAACCCCATACTTTTGAACGGCAGTATGCAATGTAAGCATTATAAAGTATGTCATTTGTAATATTCAATATGTTAAATAGTCACCTTATACTTCACACTCAAAATGCAACACTCAACAATGTGTCTTTCTAATTAGGGCCTGAAAAAGGTTTAGAGATTCCTGAAATAAATGCATCTACACTTATGAGACATTCTACTACAACAGTGGTTTTATGCAAGCATGCATTCATCAGAAAAAGTCTAATTTCCTACATGTGCTATTCTTCTCAGCACTGTAGGCTCTCTAGGAGTCAAAATGGGTGTGGCCCTTTATCCAAATGTCATGAACACAAGGAAACATACTGCACTATAATTGCCCATATAGACTAGCAGTGAAGTAATCAAGACCCCCAGCATTCCTCCATCTGCTTTTATGCTATGCACAAATGCCACACCACGAGGATCAGCCTTTGCCCAACTGTGCCTTTTTTCCATTGCTCAATTGATTCTCTGACATCCCACTGTGAAGAACCTCTGCTCTCGTCTTACCTGACTCACAAACCAGGGGCACAGAGGAAAGTCTGCTGCGGGCACGAGTGACCGGTCTCCTGGGAAACTCGTCTGTAGGGCTTCTGTGTGATGATCCATGCTGGTGGCCTGCAGTCCTCTCACTTTGCCCCTCAGTTGAGCCCTGAGTCCTGGGTGGAGCGTTGGAGTGCATGTCCTCCATCTCATCTCCTCCTGCTCTCTGCTCTGGGCTGTGACGTTCTGATCTATGGCTGTCTCCTCCCACTGGCAGGCCGTGGCCACCACGAGACCTATTTTCAGAGCACGTGCAGCGAGTCCTCACCATGTCGTCCTCCCCTCTACCCGCCCCACCTTGGTTGTCCTGATTGGCAGACTCCTCCCTCCAGCGGATGGAGCAAACACAGTTGCCGGCAGCGTAGCCTGAAGCAGACCCGGGCCCACTGTTTCTGTCTCTGGCCCCACGCTCAGCCGTCTCAATGGCCGCCTTCATGTCAGCCTTGATCTGCTCGCTGGTCACCTGGCAGCCTTTCTCACAACTGAGCTCCTGAGGTTGCGGTTCATGTCTACGCAGTGGAGTTTTCCCTTTACCTGCCAGAATACAGCACAACAATCATATCGGCATCAAGCTGTATCAGCCATCAAGTTTGCTCTCTTCCAATAGTGTCATTGCAGTCGTACAGATAATATTTCAGAACTTATATGGCCCCAAAAATATGTGAATATTCTTGGACACTTAAGTCACATGTACGAATTAAATGTATGAATTAAATGATGAAATCTGAATAGTAGTGTATATTGATAAAAAATATGACATCATTTATTGCAATTATATTCACACATTAAGTATGGGGTAAGTACGGATTTTTTTTCTTTAAAGAAATCAATACTTTTATTTAGCGATGGGACACAATTAATTCATCAAAAAGTATGTTAAAGACATCAAAGTGACAAACATTTATGATGTTATAGTTATAATGACAAAGGTGATGGAATGTGGACCAAGCCTTAAGTGCCTGAATGTATTTTGTACTAAGAACTGATGCAGTGGCTATGAAGATTTTAAATGTGAACTACCATGTGGAGTCACAGCTGTACTGCTCTTCCCCTGGGCTTCTGTCTCAGGGTACTGGCCTTGAGAGGGGGCGGCAGCCGGCGTCCTGATTGGACTATACTCATCGTCACTGTCTGAGTCTGAAAGCACCACCGACTGTTTCTTCACTGCAGTTTGAACTCCACTAGGTCCTGAATTAAATCATAAAAGAAAAAGCAAAAATGTTAATGGCTACTCACCAGGTGTATTCCATCTGTTTGCATTATTTGCTAGGTTTCTTCAGACCTGCTTGTTCTTCATCCTGTTCAAGAGAAGGATTAGTAGTCTGGCTGGAACTTTGGGTCTCTTCATCTGGGTTGGAGGCCACACGAACTGGCTCAGGCTCCATGTTGTCTGGCACCATACCCTCAACATCGGGAATCTCTGATTGAAGTCAAGAAGAAAAGTCAACTCAAAGCTTTCAGCAACCAAACAATCATTAAAGGTGACATATCATGAAAATCTGACTTTTCCAGGTTTTAAGTGCTATAATCAGGTCCCCGGTGCATCTACCAATCAAGGAAACATGAAAAAGATTAACTCAGTAACTTTGTTTTGATAAGCTTTTTTCTACAAGCGTCTGAAAAAACGAGCGCGTCTGATTTCGCTCCCCTAGTGACATTGCAAAGGGATCTCATTATAATATTACC